CCTTGGCTTCTCCCACCATGTAATCCCCGACACACACAGCCACGACGACCCAGAGACCTCCCCAGGGCTGCCCAAGACGCTTAGCATAGCCGAGAAAGCCTTCAAGGTACTGGGACCCCCAAGGCTGGGAGGGACGCAGCCAGCCGGGGCCCCGACGGGAGGCCTCCTGGAGTTCAGACCTCCCAGGCCCCCAGCCGCCCGGGGCCAGCTGGGCCCAGGCACCGCGTAGCCCGATTCAGCTACTCCAGGACAGGGGCCGCCACGGTGAGGGGCGTTGCACGTAACGCGCGGATGGCAGTGAACTTGTATTGCTTTGGGGTGATGTGGGCCTCGTGCATGCCAGACAGGCGCGCGGCCTCGGCAGCCACCGCGGCCCTTTTATAGATTTGCTTATTTATTTAGTCGGTTGTGGGGTTTGAACTCTGGGCCTGGGAGCTGTCCCTCAGCTCTTCAGCTCAAGGCGAGCGCTCCACCACTTGAGCCACAGCACCACTTCTGGTTTTCTGGTGGTTTATTGGCGATAAGTCTCATGGACTTTCCTGCCTGGGCTGGCTTTGAACTGCGATCCTTGGATCTAGCCTGCTGAGTGGCTCAGATGACAGGCGTGAGCCACTGATGGCCCGGCTAGTTCTCTTGTTGAGAGGGACTTTGTCAGCCAGCGCGGGCTCATGCAGCTCATCACCTTAGGACAGGGCCCTGTGCTCCCAGGTCAGGGCTGTGGTGGATTTTCTGTCCCTGGGGGTGTAGTGGCCCCCACGCCTCTCTATGGAAATGACCACCTCAACCCCCACAACCCTGTCAGTGGGGAAGTCACTCCATACCAGGCCTGCTTCTGGAAGCTTCTTTCCCTGCCGCTGGCAGGTGTCCATTGGTGGCAGCCCCTGAGATTTTCTCTCCGGGTCTGAGGAAGGATCGGGCGGCGTGCCTTGCTCTCCGGAGGCTGTCCTGACCCTCGAGCAGACAGGACTTTGATGACCATTCGCTGACGCTGTTCCACTGCTCAAGCTTGAACTCACCTGCTTGGGTTTCCCTTTTTCTCCGGTGTGGTCTTTGGCTCAGGAGGCCGGGTCCTCGCCTGCTGGGGTTGGTTTTAGGGTTTGCTCTGTGCTGAGCTTACCCAGGCCTTGTGTCTCCGTGTCTGCGTCAGGGGCACGGGACCCATGGGGCTGGGGGAGGGGGAGGGCGCACATGTCTGTGTATCCTGGGGGTGGGAGGAGGGGCGGGGACACCGTGTGCTGCAGCCCTGGTCTTTGCCCTCACTGGGTCCAGGCCTCAGAAGGATGGTGTGGGGATGGGTGGTCCTGGGGAGGGAGGGAAGGAAGGAGGGAAGGGGGGGTGTGGAGGGATGGGTGGTCCTGGGGAGGGAGGGAAGGAGGGATGGTGTGGGGGGGATGGGTGGTCCTGGGGAGGGAGGGAACGAGGGAGGGGGTATGTGTGGGGGGACGGGTGGTCCTGGGGAGGGAGGGAAGGAGGGATGGTATGGGGGGGATGGGTGGTCCTGGGGAGGGAGGGAGCGAGGGAGGGAGGGGGGGTGGGGGGGATGGGTGGTCCTGGGGAGGGAGGGAAGGAGGGATGGTATGGGGGGGATGGGTGGTCCTGGGGAGGGGACCTTCTCCATTGTTTCAGCTGTATACCAGGGAATGACTTCAATTCAGGTCAAGATGGCTTCCAGGTACAGTGAGAGGGGTCTTTTATGGAAAAGACCCCTGTTTTGCACGGCCAGGCCACAAAACATGAAAGGAAGCTGAGACTCTCCTCCCCATGGTTACAGCGCCCAGGGTCACATTTCTGTTAAATCCCATGTGCAAAACCACTCGCAGAGTAAGTCAGAAATATAAGCGCTCTCCATGACTCAGCTCTGTACCTCAAGGTGTCCCACAGCTGGGTCACAAGCTCAGCGTGACAGCGCCGTGTGATACCGGACAGCGAGGCCTGGAGTGCCGCGCACCGCCGCCTACCGGCTCAGGAGCCCTGCCTGCAAGGAACAGTGCCACATGTCCACGCGCACGCACGTGATGTGCTCACACGTGCGTGGGCACACGTGTATGTGCATGCCGCGCCGCGGGGCACACGCTGGGCAGCAGAGGGGGGCGGCTCAGCAGCTCCCACAGCTCGCTCCGTTTATTCATCACCTTGTGTTACTTCTCAAATGAAAGACAGAACCCTTTCCAGCCTGTTTCTAACTCCCAGAACCTGGCTGAGCAAGCACCACACGGCCCAGGCTGCCATGCCAGCATCTCCTCAGACGCCTTCTGTCCACTTCAGGGCTCGGACGATACTCACGGAGGAGTTGATGTTTTTGGTTTATTCATCGAGGGGGCCCGGTGGGATTATGAACAGAAAGTGCTAGAAGACTCGCTGCCTCTGGAGATGTGCTGTGATTTCCCCGACATCCGCTTTTTGCCAATACAGGTACCACCCCCCGCCCCTGCCCGTCACCCCTGACCTCACAGGAAATGCCATGTCTCCGTACAAGATGCTGAAAACAGCTGCACAGAGCCAAAGCCTGACAGGTCCCAGACCACCTCTGCCTATCCTTAGAGCATGGAGTAAAGTCACCATGCAGCAAACACCAAACTGTTTTCTAGGCAAAATTTCCATCTCCATCGAGCCTTAACTGTATTTAACTCACAATAAATTCCCCCAAACCCAGCTTACTGAAAATACTAGTTTCACGAGACTGTTGCTTCCTCTTTTTTAAGATTTCTACTGACATGCCCAATGCTTCTGACAAGACAGATTCGGAGCTCCACACTTTTGAATGTCCAGTTCACCAGACACCCGAGAGGTCGAGCATTTTCGCAAATACTGGCATTCCGACAGCCGTGACATCCGTGCATTTACCCACAAGGAGACCCCCAAGCCACTGGGTCACCATGCAGGTCGCACTACTGTGCGAAAAGAATGAATAAAGTTCCATACCACCCCTGCAGGCTAGAAGCAGGTTTACGGGAGCGGAGATGTCCCCACGTGGGCAGCACCCTTCCTGACGCGTCCCGTGCACCCTGCATGCGTCTTCCCCAGCACATCACTGGCCACCTCACCACGGGTGGGAACCCTGTGCCTAGAAGGCCCCAGGGTACTCTGGGCGCAGGGATGCAGGTGTACAGGGTGTCCCAGGGAACACAGCCACCTCACGGCAGCCTCCAGAGCCTCTTCCCAGGGACACAGGCTTGCAGGAGTTCCTGCAAAATCCTCAGCCCCCGGGTGCTACCCTCCAATTGGACCAAATCTGACACAGCAGCTGACCCGGCTCCCGGCTGAGCGGGCGGTGGGCCCTGGGCCGAAGGCCCACAGACACACTTCATCCCAGAGCCAACTAGGGGAGGCCACAGCTCACTCCGGGAGGGTTGGAGAGGGCGGGGTGTGCGAGAACCTAACCACACACAGTGCCGTTCAGAAAGGAAGTGCAAGGTAGAAGACTAGAATTTTAACAAAAGGCAAACAGAAAGGTGAGGCTCAGGGGCTGGGAAGTTGGCTCAGTGGTAGAGCACTTGCCTTGTATGCCTGAGGCCCTGGGTTCGATTCCTCAGCACCACATAAGAAAAAGAAAAAAGCCGGAAGTGGCACTGTGGCTCAGGTGGTAGAGTGCTAGCCTTGAGCTGAAGAGCTGAGGGACAGTGCTCAGGCCCAGAGTTCAGGCCCCACAACCGGACCATAAAAAAAAAAAAAAAAAGGTGAGGCTCAGGTACAACCCGCTGAGATAGTTAAGAATTCATCTATGGTGGGCCAACAGCCCGAGCTCTGTGACCACCACCACCAGGCTTTGTCCCAAACAGAGGAAACCAGATGTGCGCCGAGTCCTGCTAGTGCAGAAGCGCAGGGAGAGGCACACCCCCACCGCTGGGGGCACATGCACCTGGCCACGGAGGAACAGGAGAGGACATCCTCACAGACAGTCCTGGCCACTGCGCTGAGTGCCAGGCCGACTGCAGACTCCTCGGGCCCCGCTCTCGAGTGTGAAGAGGTGGGTGTGTGTGCTGAGTCTGCACGGCCCCTGGAGGTGTGTGCGTGCTGAGTCTGCACGGCCCCGCTCTCGAGTGTGAAGAGGTGTGTGTGTGTGTGTGCTGAGTCTGCACGGCCCCTGGAGGTGGGTGTGTGCGTGCTGAGTCTGCACGGCCCCTGGAGGTGGGTGTGTGTGTGCTGAGTCTGCATAGGCCCCTGGAGGTGGGTGTGTGTGTGCTGAGTCTGCATAGGCCCCTGGAGGTGTGTGTGTGTGCTGAGTCTGCACAGGCCCCTGGAGGTGTGTGTGTGTGTGCTGAGTCTGCATAGGCCCCTGGAGGTGGGTGTGTGCGTGCTGAGTCTGCATAGGCCCCTGGAGGTGGGTGTGTGCGTGCTGAGTCTGCATAGGCCCCTGGAGGTGGGTGTGTGCGTGCTGAGTCTGCATAGGCCCCTGGAGGTGGGTGTGTGCGTGCTGAGTCTGCATAGGCCCCTGGAGGTGGGTGTGTGCGTGCTGAGTCTGCATAGGCCCCTGGAGGTGGGTGTGTGCGTGCTGAGTCTGCATAGGCCCCTGGAGGTGGGTGTGTGTGTGCTGAGTCTGCATAGGCCCCTGGAGGTGTGTGTGTGTGCTGAGTCTGCACAGGCCCCTGGAGGTGTGTGTGTGTGTGCTGAGTCTGCATAGGCCCCTGGAGGTGGGTGTGTGCGTGCTGAGTCTGCATAGGCCCCTGGAGGTGGGTGTGTGCGTGCTGAGTCTGCATAGGCCCCTGGAGGTGGGTGTGTGCGTGCTGAGTCTGCATAGGCCCCTGGAGGTGGGTGTGTGTGTGCTGAGTCTGCATAGGCCCCTGGAGGTGGGTGTGTGTGTGCTGAGTCTGCACAGGCCCCTGGAGGTGGGTGTCTCAGCACACACGCCCCTCCTCTCTCTCTCTACCTCCTTTCAAGCTCTACCTTGCTGGCCAGGGGCAAATGAAGACCCCCAATAATGTTCCCAGAAAACATGGGGCGGGGGGATGTGTCTTGGTACCAAGAGTTCTTGCCCAAAAGACAAATGAGGCTGCAAGACAACCAAAGCAACATCTTTATTTTCTAAGATTTTTTTCAACTTAATCTACAGCTTAAAATTAAAACCTCATTACAAAGCTTATCAAACAAACCTGCCATAGACAAAAACAAACGAGCTGCTCCCAGAGGTGGGGGCGGGCAGGGCCATGCCACCCTCCCCCCCCGCACGGGCACAGTGCACACGGACGGCAGGGACAAGTGCGAGAAACAAGCCGACTCTTGGGTACCGGCGCCAACGCCGGCACACGCGGCCAGGGACGCGGAGCGCAGCCGGTCGCTGCCCTGACAGTGCACGTGTGGGTGGCGCGTGTGTCCACGTGGAACTCAGGCCCAGGCACTGACAGGCTGAAGCCACGAGAAAGCAGCCCTGTGTGCCTTGTGCTCTCTAGACAGAACGCCTACCGGGAGTAAAGCTCTGTAGACACAAAAGATGTACAAAATGCACAGCATAAATGTGCGGAACAGTGAGCAAAAATGCTGCCAAGTTGAGAACTCAAAAACGTATAAAAATACTAGCCCAAAGTGGCAAATTTTCAAATACCAATGTGTAAAAATGCTTAAATAGTGATGTTCCTCAAAAATATATTTTCTATCTGCAATGGTTTATAAAGGCCAACACACATCTGCAAATTGAGGTAGCAAAGCCAAATTCACAAGTTCTGGATTAAAAAAAATACCTCTCCTACATTTTAACAGCGTCTTCTGTACAATAGGAAAAGAATTCTAATTGTTTCAAAAATTTTTAATTCACATTACTCTAAAGTATAAACCACTGAAAATGTCCTTTACCCAGCTGCACATCCTGACAATTCCCTGACATTCAGAAATCTGAAGCCACCGTGCGTATTACGTAGAAGCGAGCTCTGTATTTACATTTTCTCCCAGCAGTGCTGGTCCCTGCCCTCCCTTCGCGCAGCATTGAACGCATGCATCAGGTTTATTTGTATCACATAACAAATGCCTTCAACACGAATAAGAACCCCATTTCCTCCCCTGGGTTTGAGACGGGGCCTTGCACTCTTGAGCCTCCCAAGTGCTGAGATCACGCCGGTCCTCGCTGCCCCCACGGGGAAGTGCTGTCCTTGCTGGGGAGGGATGGTCAGGCCTGGTGTGGACAGTGGGACTTTGCCTGCCAGGCAGGCATTCTACCAAGCCCAAAATTCTATTTTAATGCAGTGAACCATAAGTGTATTTTAACACAACACTGTTTTCATCTTTAAAAAAATCAACAGGCAAAAAAAAAAAAAAAAGCAAAAGCAAAGAACGCAGCTTGGAAGGAAATGAAACTATACACATCAAGAGCGTCCTTTTGGGCGGGAGCCTGGGATGGGGGGGGGGGGTGGCTCTACCCCCCCCCCCCCCCCCCCCCCCGTAAATGCTAGATTCTTCATTTGTATTTGAACGGGTAAAACTTTAATATGAACACATTGAACCCGACTACATTAGAAGACCTACTCTGCATCTATGGTCCCAGCTCAAAAAGACGACAAACTCACAGCCCGCCAGTGCACAGAGTCCTAGGGACTCTCCTTGGGGAGGGGGTGCAGCTCAGTACACGTAGGGGAGAAGGCGGTAGGGCACCCGCTGGCAGTACTGCTCCCAGGCCAGGCCGTACTTCCTCCGGCAGTGCTGCTCGTCCCGGGCCTCGCGGTGGACCAGCAACGCCGTGAAGTAGATGACATAGAAGTAGGGCAGAAGGTGACCAAAGCCTGCAAGCAGGGGACAGATGTCTACTAGACCCGTGCTTCTCTCCTGCCTCGACCCCCCCTTACAGGGGACCCTCCCAGCCCCCCGCAGCAGGTGGAGGAGGACGCGCACACGGCGCACACCATGCACACCGTGCACACCGCGCTGGGCCCCAGGAGTGCGGCCCACTTACCGCAGGGCAGGGACCAGGCCAGCGCCATGACCAGGTCGCCCAGGTAATTGGGGTGGCGGACGAGGCCCCACCATCCGGACACCAGCAGGCTCTTCCCAGTAGAAGTCTGAATCGTTTTTAAATCTACACAGAAACAAAGGCACACTTAATGACCTCTAAGAAAGAGACTCAAACCCCCACATCAGAAACAGAAATCAGAACTCACGCGCAAGCTTTGGGTCCATGGGATTTTTCCGGAATGCATTTTTCTGAGAATTTGCACATCGGAAGATTACATATCCACAAACTGAAATGTTAAGTCATATTTCTGTTAATAATTTAGATAGTCTAATGTTAAAAATCATCTAGAATTTCTCTTACAAATCATTTCTGGGTTCTGAGGAAATGTCCTGATGAGAATGTGATCTTTGGATCACATTCTTTTGGAAGTGGCAAGTGGTAGAGCGCTCGCCTTGAGCTGAAGAGCTGAGGGACAGAGTTCAGGCCCCACAACTGACAGAAAATGAAAGTGAACATTCTGGGTTTACACTGTCAAACAGTGTTTGGGGGCACTGAGGCGGGGACTCAGGCTTCACACCGGCGAGGCGGGAAGATGCTCCACTCTTCAGCCACGCTCCTAGCAGCTATTTGGCTGTCTGGATGGTTCTTTCCTTCCTGCACACCCCCGCTGCCTCGGCCAGGACCAGAGGGGGGCCTCGCAACCTCCTCTTCTCAGTGGTTGGGTGGAAGGCAAAGATGCCCCCTGGCAGAGGTGGCGTCTGAGGTCTGCATCATCAAACCTATGGCACAGTGAGTTAGCAGCCCCACCAGGAAGGTCGCGCGGGCCCAGCTGCAGGCTACGCTGGGAGCGGCACTCGGGTTGATAATGCCAAAATCAGCTAGGTGCCACTGGCTCATGACTGTAACCCTAAACTGCTCAGGAGTCTGAGATCTGAGGATCACGGTTCAAAGCCAGCCCAGGCAGGAAAGTCTTGATCTCCAATGAACTACTAGAAAACCAGAAGTGGCGCAGCGGCTCACGAAGTGCTAGAGCGCTCATCTTAGCAGAGCAGCACCTGAACTTAAGCCCATCACCAATAAAATAAAATACCCAAACCAACAGGCCTGGTACAACACTTTATGACCGTCTTCAGAGTCCAGAGTAAACAAAGGCCTCTGCTGGGCACTACTCAGTAGACAGAAGGACACACACGCACACAGACAGGTCAGCCACGGGTGAGATCGTATTCAACCAATGGCCCTGCATTCCTTCTGTGTCACACGCCAACTCCCCTTCCCTACTTCTGACCGATGAGTAAGGAATGAATACCCTCAACTGGGCAAAAACAGAGCCGCTCTCCTCCCCTCCTCCCCCTGCCCTTTCTCCCCTTCCCCTCTTCCCTTTCTCCCCCTCCTCCCTCCCCTCCCACCCCTGCTCTCCCCCCTCCTCTCCCCCACCATCCCACCTTGCCCATGAAAGGACTTCAAGCCTGAGCTGTGAGCAGTGGGAATGGCTGTGGCAGGCAGCTCCAAGCGCAACACTCACGTTTCAGGGCGGTGGAGAGCGCGGCCACAGGCCACGATAGATCCTGGGGGTGGCGGACCAGGTAGAAGGCCTGGAGGCTGTAGGTGAACGGAACCCATACCAGATCTCCAAATGCCAGCATGAACCCAAACCCGTCGTGCGTGATGTCCATGGTGGTCAGCAGAGCCTCCTGTGCACACGGACAGACGGGGAGGAGACCGCTGGGTGACGCACAGCGCCCACACGAGTCCCGCGGGACCGCAGCAGCCTGCGTGTCACTGGGTGGCGACCCTGACCAGCAGGTGCGCGCTCGTGTGCGCTCCTACCCAGCTGTCTACGGCTTGGCCTCAACCTCTGCCCCTGCCCAGGGCCTTCTCAGCTGGGCCACCCGAGTTGGGGTGGAGAGAGAGCTCCTCTCTCCAGAAGTGGGGACCACTTTCTGCTTCCGTCACCCAAGCCCGGCAGATCTGGCAGGGAATGAGCAGGACACTGAGGCCACCAACTCCCACAGCAGCCCGCATGGCCTCCCGTGGTACAGGCTCCCCCTTGGCACGGCACCAAGCGCATCCTGGCAGGCCAGGGTCCCTGGGCTGGACCTGACACGGGCCCACAGAAGCACCTTGCTGCCCAGCACGCCTGGAATCCTAGCTCCTCCAGCAGCTGAATATTGAGGATTAAGGTTTGAGGCCAGGAACAAAGCACACTAGACTCCATCTCCAAAATAACCAGCCAAAAGCCAGACTGAAGGCACAGGCCTAAGAGGTGGACCATGGACTGAGCAAAGTTCAAGTTCAAACCTGGGACCTGCCAAGAAAAGTTCTTAGCTTAAGAAAGAGATTAAGAAATAAAATGCTCATTCATTCCTATCTAACAATAAACCTAACAAAGGAGGAAAGAACCTCAAAAGAAAACCATAAAGCTGTGCACTGGCTCACACCTGAAATCCTTCTGAGCTCCAATGATCAATGTTCAAAGCCAGCCTGAGAAGGAAAGTCCATGAGACTCTTATCTCCAATTAATCATCAAAAGCTGGAAATGGAGCTGTGAATGAAGTGGCAGAGCGCCAATCGAGTACAAAAGCCAAGGATGAAGTAGGGCGCTGGTGGCTCATGCCTTGTAGTACTAGCTAGTTAGGAGGCTGAGATCTGAGGATCATGGTTCAAAGCCAGCCAGGGCAGGAAACTCCGTGAGGACTCTTATCTCCAATAAACTACCAGAAAAACTGAAAGTGGCACTGTAGCTCAAGTGGTAGAGCGCTCACCTTGAGCTGAAGAGCTGAGGGACAGCACTCAGGCCAAGTTCAAGCCCCACGACAAAAAAAAAAAAACAGCCAAGGATGAGTGCAACCATGTAGTACTAACACACACAGATAAACAGACATACCTGCAATGTGTGGAAGAAAAGAGACCACAGAAGACAGAGATGGCCAGTTTAGGAGAATCAGTATCAAGAACACATCCACACTGTCAAGGTCATCTACAGTATCTATCGAAATCCCAACATCAGTCCTCACAGAGATCTTAAAACTCACATGGCAAGCTATTCTTGAGCAGCCAGAGCAATCCTGAACAACAATGCCAATATTGGTGGTCTTCCAATACCAGACTTCATTATACTATAAAGCCATAACAAGGCCGGGTGCCAGTGGCTCATGCCTGTAATCCTAGCTACTCAGGAGGCTGAGATCTGAGGATCGCAGTTCAAAGCCAGCCCGGGCAGGAAAGACCGTGAAACTCCTATCTCCAATCAACCACCAGAAAACCGGAAGTGGCGCTGTAGCTCAAGTGGTAGAGCGCTCGCCTTGTGCTAAAGAGCTGAGGGACAGCACCAGGGCCGGAGTTCAAGCCCCACAACTGCAAAAAAAAAAAAAAAAAAAAAAGCCATAACAAAAAAATTGGCTTGGTAGCTGTCCAGAAGCAGATCCTAAGATCGATGGGACAGATCAGAAGACCCGAAAATAAGAACATGCATCACAGCCAACTGCTATTTGACAAAGAAACAGGAAACACACATTGGAGAAAGAAGACCTCTTCACCAGACAACACCAGAACTGGACATCCACAGGCCGACTTAAACTGGACCCCTGTCCCTCATGCTGTATCAACTCAAAAGTGGATCAAATACATGCCTGTCAGGCCTGAAACCTTGCGACTACAATGAAGAGGAGTAGGGAAAATAGGCCAACTTGTCAGCATGGCAGAAACTTCCTGAAAAGAATTCTAGGAGCTCAGCAAATATAAGAATTGACAAATCGAACTGCATTAAGATACAAGGCTCCTGAGCACAAAAGACCTTGCCCAGTAAGGGCAACATCCTGGGTTTGATCCCTAGTATCAAAAAAGACAACAAAAAATTAAAAAAATAAAAGTAAAAACTAAAACCCCAAGGAATCAATAACCCAGGTAACAAACCGGCAAAAGAGCTGAACAGGTACTTCTGGAGAAGTTTAAAGGGCTAATAAACACATGAAGAAATGGTTAGCATCCCTGATCATAAAGGAAATGGAGGGCTGGGAAGGTGGCTCAGGGGTAGAGCGCTCACCTTACACACATGAGGCCCTGGGTTCTATTCCCCAGCACAACATAAGCAAAAAGAAAAAAGCCGGAAGTGGCACTGTGGCTCAAGTGGTAGAGCACTAGCCTTGAGCTGAAGTGCTGAGGGACAGCGCCCAGGCCCAGAGTTCAGGCCCCACGACCGGACCCAAAAAAATAAAAAAATAAAGGAAATGGAGGCTGAGATCTAAGGATTGAAACCAGCCAGGACATGAAAGTCCATGAGACTCTTATCTCCAATTAACCATCAAAAACCTGGCAGTTGAGGCTCACATTCTATAGCAACAGCCAAGAACACAAAAGCTCAGGGATAGTGCCCAGGGCCACGTTCAAGCTCCAGGATCACTGAAAAAAAAATCTGAATATTCATGTTCACTACAGCACTATTTACCATAGCCAAGTAATGGAAATAGTCGGATGCCCTATAACAGAAGACAGGTCAATAAAATGTGGGGTAGAACAATCAAATTATATCATTTCCCAGGAAAAGGATGGATCTGGAAAAAAAAAGATACTAAGTGAAGTAAGCCAGACCCAGAAGGACAAAAGGCCATGTTTTCTGTCATGTGTGGATAACAGAGCCAAAAGACAAGCTCCCAGGTACACACACACACAGGGGAATCTGAATACACACATGACCATGCCGACTGAAGTGTCACATGCTACACACCGTAAACCTTTAGAAAAACTCCGCGGGATAAGACTGAGTATCAGGAGAGGAACCGTTTTGAATGGGGAAGGGAACAGGACACATGCAAATGAAAGAAGGGAGAAAGGAAAGCGGTCTCTGGGACAGAAGAGGAGGGGAGGGGAGGAGGATGGAAGGGGTGGCGTGCTGTGTGCATAAGACACGTCCTTGACTGAGACTACCCTCGTGCAATCATTTGTAGATTAAAAACTTTAGACAGGGCTGGAAAGGTGGCTCAGTGGTGGAGCGCTGGCCTCGCATGCATGAAGCCCTGGGTTTGATTCCTCAGCACCACATCTACTGAAAAGGCTGGAAGTGGTGCTGTGGCTCAAGTGGTAGACTGCTAGCCTTGATCAAAAGCAGCTCCAGGATAGTGCCCAGGCCCTGAGTTCAAGTCCCAGAACTGACACCAAAACAAAAAAAGTTTTTTTAAAAAAAGGAAAAGGAAAAAATGGCTAACTCCAAGGATATTTCTCCAGAAGATAAAAGGACCAAGGATTTTTTTTTTTTGGGGGGGGGGGGGGGGGTAGGAGGTGGGGTGGGCGACCCTCACTCCTCCCTGGCAGCAGGGGCAGTGAATGGGCCATCCTCACTCCTCCCTGGCAGCAGGGGCAGTGAATGGGCCATCCTCACTCCTCCCTGGCAGCAGGGGCAGTGAATGGGCCATCCTCACTCCTCCCTGGCAGCAGTAGGAGTGAATGGGCCATCCTCACTCCTTCCTGGCAGCAGTAGGAGTGAATGGGCCATCCTCACTCCTCCCTGGCAGCAGTAGGAGTGAACGGGCCATCCTCACTCCTCCCTGGCAGCAGGGGCAGTGAATGGGCCATCCTCACTCCTCCCTGGCAGCAGTAGGAGTGAATGGGCCATCCTCACTCCTCCCTGGCAGCAGTAGGAGTGAATGGGCCATCCTCACTCCTCCCTGGCAGCAGGGGCAGTGAATGGGCCATCCTCACTCCTCCCTGGCAGCAGGGGCAGTGAATGGGCCATCCTCACTCCTCCCTGGCAGCAGGGGGACTGCACTGGCAACACTTAGAGGCCGCTTCAGGCAAAAGCAGCCACTGGGGCGGAGTCTGTGCAGTGAGGGGAGCTGCCATCAGAGCAGCTGGCCTGCCCCTATCCCTGCCCTCTGTCTTCGCCGGTGCAGGGTCACACCACAGTCACTGAGTCTTCCTCTGTCTTGCATGAAATGCCAAATTTAAGACCAGCCTCAGTGCAGGGAGAAGACAGCAATGGAGGGAGAACGCCGTGAAGAGCTCAGTGCACGCCCTGTACAACTAAAGGCCGTGAGAGGAGGACTGGGTTGAGAGGGGTGGGTGAGAGGCACTGCATGCACAAGCTGTTTTGTTAAATACTAATTCCTGTGTACAACTACTTAAATTTACTCTTGTCTCTGAGTATCTTTTTTTTTTTGCCAGTCCTGGGGCTTGAACTCAGGGCCCGGGCACGGACCCTGATCTTCTTTTGTTAAAGGCAAGCGCTCCACCACTGAGCCACACTCACAGCCCCGTCGCTAAATATCTTGTAACTGAAAATTTTTTATATTATTTGCTCTATTAACCTCTCTTAGTGGACAGAGATGAGCTAAGTTTATGAGCTTTTTTCCTATGGTTATACAAAGTATGCTTTCAGACTTGGACTTGTTTGCTGTTCCTACGGCAAACCATGTTCAGTACATCTTAGCTATAGAAAAGAAAGGCACAGGAAAGCCTCCGACTCAGAGGCTTACTCTGCAGATGTCAGCAGACTCTCAAACACCTTGAAACTGAGATGTGCTGACATGGAATGCATGCCCCCAGCACCAGGAAGGTAGAGGCAGAAGGAAGTGGATGCGCCTGGCCAGAGCTACATTCAAGACTCTGCTGCAAAACAAAAACAAAAGCTGGGTGTCGGTGGCTGAACCTGTCATCCCAGCTACTCAGGAGGCTGAGATCTGAGGATCAAGGTTCAAAGCCAGCCCAGGCGGGAAACTCTGTGAGACTCATATCTCCAATCAACCACCAGAAAACCAGAAGTGGCGCTGTGGCTCAAGTGGCAGAGTGCTCGCCTTGAGCCGAAGAGTTGAGGGATAGCGCCCAGGCCCAGAGTTCAAGCCCCACGACAGACAAAAAAAAAAAAAAAAGTACCTCATTCCAGAGAGCATCTACCACATACAGGAGCTGGAAACTGTTCACCAAGATCATTGCCAGGGATGGAGTGGGGCGGTTCTGCACTTCCATTTCAGCCAAGAGCATCACCACGTTAACAATCACCTGCAATAAAAGAGCAGTCTCAACGGCCCCCAGGCCTTGCTCCGCAGGGACCAAGGCCCAGGCCAGGACCACTGCCCTGTGCCAGCACTGGGAACAAGACATTTCAACACCACGACCACCGGGCCACAACCCAGAGATGCAACACAACTTCCAGCTGTTCCTGCCACGCACCAGCGACCTCACTGGGGCCATGAGAAAACGCCCAGGGCTTCCCTACAAGTGACCTGGTCTTGTTGCTCCCTATAGCAGGGCACAGCAGCCTCCTACAGAGGGCGCTGCAGCAGCGCTGCCAGGGCCGGGTCTGCAGCTTGGCTAACAGCCCCGCAGAGGGGGTTACTGCAGCCACTGCAGCGGCCGTCGCTGTGTGGGCCTTAATGTCTACTCTGGGAAGGGGGGCAGGGCAGAAGGGAACTCGGCACTCTTTTTTTTGCAACTCTTCTGTAAGTCTGAAATTAGGCTAAAACAAAGTTTTTATTAAAAAGGGAATAAACCAGAAGAGAGCAGGGGAAGGGGCGACACTGCCCCAGAAGAAATGTCCTCTGCCTGACTTATGTAGCTGTAGCTCCTCTGTACATCACCTTATAATAAAAAATTAAGACAAAAAAGGAAATAAAATATGGCTTCTCTTATTTTAATCCATGTACACAAGCACAACATGAATTCAAAAGTGTTAAAAACAATGTGGAATAACCTCTAACAAGATATCCGCTGGCAAATACTTGTAGTATGAAGACACAGTTAGGAAGACAGAATTATGGAAAACTGTAATACTTCCTAAAAGTCTACACCTACTTCTTACTCTAAAATTGCTTATATTTCTTTCTAAACAAAAGATGAATGTGCACTATTAAAATAAAATTTAAGAAAGAATAAGACATACCCATCCAATCAATCCTGGACGCAATTCACAAAAGTATTTGAGATCAAAAGTGCCAATTCGAGGGTTTAGTTCACGGCCAATGAAGAAATCATAGACAGCATTTCCTGAGAAGGGAAAAGGTTTTACCCAAACCACGATCCACACCAGTGTGAGTATGTAACTCCACCTCTGGCTGCAATTCCGTTACAGGCAGCAGCTGCTGCAGCCAGCTCCCGCAGCCCAAGAAAGCTGCCAGGTTTTCCAATGTGAACTCATTTTTTAAATAAGCAACTTCAAAAAAACAGTTAAATTCTTTAGGCAAGAATCAACCCATTTGTGACTTCTTATTTTTGTGGGAAAATAAATATCCTCTTCCTTTAAGTTCCTTTATCTTTTTTCTTACTTTGTTTCATTGCCCATAAAATGAAGCTAGGAAGCTCTCTAGAGATGGTTGCTGGCTCTGGGACACTCAACCCAGAGTGAAGCCCCACATGAAGCACCACTGCTCACCAGAGCTAGCGGGCGCCAGCTCACTCCTGGGCGCCTTCAGAGAGCGAGCATAGAGGTAAACACTCAAGACCACCGAAAACACTGTGGCTGCAAGCGCCAACTGAAGGAAATGGCTGTACACCCAAGAGAGCTCCACGCCCCAGAAGACAGCTGCTCCAACCCCTGCCAACGTCAGGGTGAATGCGTAGAACCCTGTAAAATAAGAAAGCAAAATGTTTAACACATCCACCAGCTCAGGCTCGCCTGCGATTCACACCATTATAAGGAAACAGGATGTGTTCTGTGGTTTTTTTTTCATGAGCTCGGGCCTTGCTAAGTCGTCCAGACTGGCCTCAACCTCTAGGTCTCCCTTGTGACCTCCCAAGGGCTGGACTACAGTTATGCCTACCCTATTCTTTTAGATAGGGTCTCATCAACTCTTTTGCCCTAATCTAAAATCGAAACTCTCCTGACTACCTCCCAAGGAGCTGATTATTACAGGACTGAGCACCGAGCCTGGCTCACCATCTGCTATTAACATCACTGCCAGGGAAGATAGAGAACTTTACTGTCATAAAACTGAAAGAATCTCAAAGTGCACTGAACCCCAAAGTCAAATGGCTAAAAATGAGCAAAGTTAGGCCAAGTATACATTTTAAACTCCAGTGCCATTACCTAATGGTAGGGTAACTAAATACAAAATTATCAGTATTTGTGCTTGAATTAGCTTGTTAATAATGGCTCAGATTCTAGTCATAGTCTACTATCTAGAATGTCTCGGAGCAGAGGCCACAGGGAAGCCAAGGCCAGGCCAGCCTGGAGGAGCAGGCACCATCACTGGCACAGCAAAACAAACCTCCAGTCGGCCCTGGTGGCTCACACCTGTAAACTTAGCTACTCAGGAGGCTGAGATCTGAGGGTCATAGTTCCATGCCTCAGCCAGGGCAACTAGACTCTGATCTCCAATTGACTATCAAAAACCACAAGTAGAGCTGTGGCTCAAGTGTTAAGAGCACCAGCCTCGAGCGAAGAGCTCAGGGACACAGGGACAGTACCTCAGTCCTGAATTCAAGCCCTAAAACCAGCACTAAGAAAACAACAAAAAAACGAGACAGGCTTCTCTCCCACTGGCTTAACAGTTCTATGTCTTCGAGATTCCAAACAAACACAAACACATTTCTTAGAAGCCAACTGATGCCCAGAATACCACTAGGAGAAATCTACGGGCAAGGGCAAGCAACTGACCGACATAGGCCCAGCTCGCCAGCACACGGCAAGGAGCAGAGCCTAATAAGTGCTCCATCAGCAAGGAGTTTGCCAGAACACCGTAAAGGTTTAAGCACCCCTGGGAGTCTGGCCCTGAGCTCACATGCTTGACACCAAAGGGGCAGATGAGCCCGGTAGTCAACACCAGATGAGGTACTGATGAGGAAGTATCTGGTCAAAAAGCAAGGGTGAAGGAAGTAGCGGTGGGCCTGAGTGGAGCTCGAGAGTTTTCCATTCCGGCATGGTAGGAGCCATGCTCAGCTCTGCCTCTCCTCCCGCTATGACGCAGGCTCAGAGGTCCCTGCGGCACAGCACAGCGCGGTGCGGCACGGCCTGCGGCGTGTGATCAGAGGCCAACAGCTCTGCAACGCACACTGCTGCCCAGTGCGACAGGCTCACCAGGAGTGCACCCTAAGTTACCGGGCATCCGTAACAAATCCTCAAGAAAACGAAGACACCCTACCTGGTCCAGTAAAATGGATAATCATTCAAGGAAATCAGATTTGCAATATTCTATCAGTCTTCAGATGGCAAAACCAGATTGATAGCTCCTGCCACATGAGAAACTCGAACATCTGTTCAGTTCTTGAGTGCCAATGAAGCACTTCTACTATAACTCAGTGGTGGTTGTACTGGGTACTCGACGGTCTGAACTAGGGACTAAGAAGCAGTTGTACTGTGTACTCAGCAGTGGTGAACTGGATATCCCTTCTAGAACCCAAAGGCCTCCGTCAGCATGAGTCTCAGCTCATGAAGCTTTGTCGAGGAGGCAAAAAGTTTGGATGAATGAACAAAGAGCACTAAAATCAGGAAGACACAGTACCAGAGAATAAAACAGGGCATAGAAGAGGAACGGACCCCAAGGCTTCCTGAAAGCATTTCAGGGAAGTTTCCCAGGAAAAGGGCTGAGAAGAATGTGACACGAACTCAAAAGACATCTCACAGGCCAGCCAACTGGCCAGACCAGCCAGGCCAGCAGGGGTTGGAGGGAGGGGCAGGATACCCACACCAGTGCATAGCTCGCAATGGTAAGATCACAGATGCACAAGCACGGTACTCCAAATAGTGACAAGTCCATTTAAAAAAACAAAAGTAGAGCTGGGCACTGGTGGCTCACGCCTGTAATCCTAGCTACTCAGGAGGCTGAGATCTGAGGATCACAGTTCAAAGCCAGCCTGAGCAAGAAAGTCTATGAGACTCTTATTGCTAATTAAAAAAAATAAAGACAGAAATGTCTCTGGGGCTCAAGTGGTAGAGGGCTAGCTTTGAGCCAAAGAAGCTCAGGGATAGTACCCAGGCCCTGAGTTTAAGACCCAGGATCAGCACAAAAAAAGAAAAAGAAAAAAGAAAACAAAACTAGCAGGCATAGTGGCTCACCCCTGTAATCCCAGCACTTGGAAGGCTGAGGCTGAAAGATGCAGAGTTCCAGGCCAGCTTGGTCTACCTAAAGACCCTATCTCAAAAACAAACAGAAAGGGAAGGACAGAGAGAGAGAGAGAGAGGTAGAGAGGGAGAGAGAGAGGGAGGGAGGGAGGGAGGGAAGGAAGGAAGCAGAGTTGGGGAGGGGAAGGGTGGAGGGAAACTAGATGTCAAGAGTGACTGATGAGCTGCTACTTTATGTGGCATAAGTTTTACATATTGGTTTATCTGCATGACTTTCTTCAAACTACTGAGATGGTTTACTACATAAACTGTGGTGTCATCAGCTTTGACAGTTTAAAGAGTAGAAAAATGATCAACTCATTAGTCTTAAAAGAAATCACCATTTAATCTATACTTGAGTCTTCTTCCATCCACAAGAGGTGTTCCTTCTACAACCTTAAAAGAAAAACAATTTTAAATTAAAAAAGCAAACCCAACCACTGGACTGTACATTTTAAATAAGTGATTGAATGGCATGTTCGCTATATCTCAACACAGCTATCGAATTCTTTCAAAGCACAATATACAATGTCTTCAACTAGCTCTTCAACTTCATCATACCCCATGAAGAGGAGTTTATAGTAGGAAAATAGAGTAATACGTTGCAAAAATCTTAATATCTATCCAGTTCTTCGATGAAGCAATTCCACCTTCAGGAATGTATCTTAAATACAAATCAATCAGAAACTCTCAGAGCACCCAGACCAGTGTGACAGCCACACCCCAGGCCAGAAATAACCACTGTCTTCCCACTGCTTACAATGCCATTTGCTCACTGCCATGAGGTTCTTTCCAAGTGGGTTCTGCCCCACTTACCCAGTCTACCGTAGCCCATATCATACTACTGACGGCACTGCTCACACGTGCGCACTCACTCGGTGCTCATTTACTGTGCACACATGCACGCCTCCCCCCCCCCCCCCCCCCCGTGCGCCTCGGAGCAAGAGAGCACACACTGTGTGGGAACCAGCCAGCTCTTCCCCTGGCAGGGTGCATGGCAGCTCCCATGAGAAGTGCAAGGACAGCCATATTCTAATGCCAAGGCAGCAACGAGTCAATACTAAAATGGCACCATCTGTCAGCACCCTCTCATGAGCTATACAGAGAAGCATGAAGCTGTCTGAGATCACTCGATAGCACCTGGTCATTTCACATGATCCTTATCAGAGGTATCTATTACAGACTGTGAATAGACAAGCACACACACACACAAATAGACACATACATATGCACATATGCAGAGAATCACTGTATTATATGTTTATTTATTTGTAATTATATATTACATGTATACTGAGAATTACCATCCAAACTGCCTCTCTAAATATTATCTGCTTTAAACCAGCCTCATCCTACATTAATTGGAATTTGACTACAAAGCTTTAACAATGACTAAAGTCCATAATTGCAGAAATCTATGATAGAGCCAACTCAGCCGCTGGTGAGATCAGGTGATCCTAAGTCCCACACACTGTTTGCAGCTATAACCTCCTGTCATCGGCACGAACTCCTCTTAACGGAACTGTAACCTCTGCTTTACATCTAGCAAACTTTGTAATGCCCTATGACTATGATCTTTAAACTATTCACTGCTTCGGAATCATGTTCCTTTAAATATATCTAAGAAAAATATTCTACATTAAGAAAACTACACTTGGGACTGGGAAGGTGGCTCAGTGGTAGAGCACTTGCCTTGCATGCATGAGGCCCTGGGTTCAATTCCTCAGCACCACATAAGCAAAAAGAAAAAAGCCGGAAGTGGCGCTGTGGCTCAAGTGGTAGAGTGCTAGCCTTGAGCTGAAGAGCTGATGGACGGCGCCCAGGCCCAGAGTTCAGGCCCCACAACCGGACCCCCCCCCCAAAAAAAAAAGAAAAAAGAAAACTACACTTAGCAATAGAAACAAATTTAAAAACTACCATGAGATTGAAAAGTACACAGAATGTTCTTGACAATGAATTTCTAAAAGGGACAAAAATTAAAGTCATGAAATTTTTACAAAGCCTAAAAGATATACTCTGATGTCCCCTGAGCTCAGAAGACTCTCAGTTAATGGTCTGTCAATCTCGCTACTCAGGAGGCTGAGGTCTGAGGATTGCGGCTCACAGCCAGCCGGGAAGCTCCTTGAGACTCTTATCTCAAAAAGATCAGAAGTGGCGCTGTGGCTCAGATGGCAAAGCACCAGCCTTGAGCACATAACCTAGCGACAGCACTCAGCCACTGAGCTCAAGTCCCAGAACTACGACCCAAAAAAAAGTCTGAATCAGGTTTTTGGGGGTTTGTCAGTTGTAGGGCTTGAAATCAGGGCCTGGGGCTGTCTCTGAGCCTTTTTGTGCTCAAGGCTAGCACTCTATCACCTGAGCCAGAGCCACTTCCAGTTTTTGAGGGGTTAATTGCAGATAAGAGTCTAATGGGGACTTTACTGACCCAGCCAGCTTCAAACAGGGATCCTCAGATCTCAGCCTCCTGAGTAGCTAGAATTACAGGTACGAGCCACTGGCACCCAGCTAAATCAGGTTTTTAAATTTCTACTTAATAACAAGTGTAATAGAGCACAATAGTAAGTTTTGGTAGTTCTGCCCAACAACGACAGATTCTCACCTCAAAATAACTAGACATGGAAAATAAGCTAAGAAAATCTCACAATACCACACATATCCCACTAACAAAAACTTACCTTCCCAACTGGCAGTAGGTAGAACAGGGCTTGAACGAGAAACCAGAGCAAGTAGACTCCACACACTCTGGTCTCCCATACGTCAGCCCAGGCAGGCAGAGGGGGGGGGAAACTCAGCAGGCTGGGGTCCTGCTGCTCACACATGAGCAGCAGCAGGAAGAGGAAGACAGGCAAGCCGAGCGTGATGAGCAGCGCCCCTGCAGGACACCGGTGAACAGTCAGGCACAGGGGAGTCTCAGCCAGGAGTGTTCAGTTATCTAGTTAGTGAACTGCTTTCAGTGAGTCTAAAAGTCACTGTCCACCCGCAATGTCAAACCTCAGGTCTGGCTCCCAATCCAGTACTCACACCCAATCCTAGCTGCTCAAAAGGCTGAGATAGAAAGATCACAGTTCAAAGCAGCCTGGGCAGGAAAGTCCAACAGATTCCATCTCCAGAATAACCAGCAAAATGCTGGACTGGAGGTGTGGCTCAACTGAGCAAGTGTGAGGCCGAGTTCAAACTGTGATACTCACAAAACAACAACAAAACTGAGGTTCAAGGAAGATACAAGGAAATGGAAAGACTTAGAAAACATTACATTTAGTGAAGTAAGCCAGACCTACAGAAACAAAGGTTGCATAGTGTCCCTGGTAGATAGATTGTACCTATAAATATGCAAGTAAACACACTAGGTTGTATGCAAGGGGTTACCAGTAAACGGAATGAACTGTTAACAGCTCTACAGCGAGTGCAGACAGTATAATGCTTCTGCTCGGACCGGCCCTCAGCACTGTGCAGACAGTATAATGACTCTGCTCGGACCGGCCCTCGGGCGCTGTGCAGACAGTATAATGACTCTGCTTGGACCGTCCCTCGGCACTGTGCAGACAGTATAATGACTCTGCTCGGACGGGCCCTCGGGCGCCCCCTCAGCATCCCTCTCACCCCCCCTTCACCAGGTGCAGGTGTCCCAGAGGCATTTGCAAGGCACCCAGGAGCAACCAGACCCACGGCCAGCCTTGCTAACCTACCAGGGACTCCTCCAAACTCCAGGTCTTTCCTCTGTGGATTGGGTGTCACTTTGAAGGTTTTGAGCAAGTCGGGTTCTTTTGGAACAAGCTTTTCTTCCTTAGAACTTGTTTCTTTTGCTTGCACCTCTTCTCTCCTCAGACGAAGGTTATATTGTGAAGATGTACAGCTACTTTCTTGTGACAAAATCAATCTCTCCTAAATAAAAAATAAAAAGCATTAAATATCTATAGTTAAGAATTGTCAGCCAGGCACCATGGCTCACGCCTGTAATCCTAGCTATTCAGGAGGCTGAGATCTAAGGATCACGGTTCAAAGCCAGCCTGGGCAGGAAAGTCCATGAAACTCTTATCTCCAGTGAACCATCAGAAAACTGGAAGTGGCGCTGTGGCTCAGGTGGTAGAGTGCTAGCCTTGGGCTGAAGAGCTGAGGGACAGCACCCAGGCCCAGAGTTTCAAGTCCCATGACCAAAAAAAAAAAAAAAAAAAAAAAAAAAGGATTGTCAGGATTTATTATTGCTTCTGGAGGAAGAATCACTTTAATAAAGAAAGAAAACAGGGGCTGGGAAGGTGGCTCAGTGGTAAAGCACTTGCCTTGCATGCTCGAGGCCCTGGGTTCGATTCCTCAGCACCACAGAAAAAAGCCAGAAGTGGCGCTGTGGCTCAAGTGGTAGAGCACTCGCCTTGAGCTGAAGAGCTGAGGGACAGCGCCCAGGCCCAGAGTTCAGGCCCCATGACCGGACCCCCAAAAAAAAAAAAAGAAAGAAAACAGTGACTCAAGATGAAAGAGCGCTGCTATTTCCTACCTGGGAGTTTTTATGAAGAATGTCATTGCACTCCCCATGTTCCCGCTCTCCATTGTAGATGGTGACACTGTTTCCAAATGGCTTCTAAATTGAACATAGCATTTTAGTCCAAAGAACTATAACTCATTAAAAAGAAACACAACAGTAACAAATTACAACTATGATATCCAACAATAAAGCAAAGCTCAAGACTTTCACAGCCTTAATTCTAACTAATTCCACTAAAGCAAATTTGCACCAGAAAACCAGGGCACTTGGGCTTACCAAGTTACCTTGCTGGTAAGAGATCAACTCAGAGACAAATGTTAAAAGTCTAAGTAACAAGTAAAATGTAAATAAAAACAATGAGCTTTGAAAACCTCCAAACACACTGGCAAAAAAAAGGAAAATAAAATAAAAATGAACATTTATACACTATTGATAATTGGAATAACCTTTCTTTTTTTGTCTGTTGTGGGGCCTGAACTCTGGTCCTTGGTGTTGTCCCTGAGCTCTTCAGCTCAAGGCTAGCGCTCTACCACTTAAGCCACAGCGCCACTTGCGGCTTTTTTCTTATGTGGTGCTGAGGAATCAAACCCAGGGTCTCATGCATGCATGGCAAGCACTATACCACTGAGTCCCCTTTCCAGCCCTGGTAAAAACTTCTTTAACACAATCTGATAATATATAAAAGGCATCTAGTTTGTGCTATACATCTGACCTTGCAATCTCATTTGTGAGAATTTATCCCAAGGAGATAAACAGATTGTATAAAAATACTTCCTTAGAAATACACATATAATGTTGAGGATTTAGAAGGAAAAACACTACAAGAGCTAACTCAATCACTGTACATCTCTATAATTTAGGACATATAGTATATGATACAACAAAACTGTAGAAAAATATACCATATACACTCCCAGTTTTAAAATTAAGTAGTTTGACTACAAAACAGTATACATGCAGTCCATTATTTTTAAGATTATTAAAAGCTGATGATGGATGCCAGTGGCTCATGCCTGTAATCTAACCCATTTAGGAGGCTGAGTGAGATCTAAGGACCACCATTCAAAGCCAACCTGGGCAGAAAAGTCCGTGAGACTCTCATCTCCAATCAACCACTCAAAAAGCTGAAGTGGAGCTATAGCTCAACTGGTAGAGTGCTAGCTTTGAGCAAGAGCTCAGGGACAGCGCTCAGGCCAAGTTCAAGCCCCAGCACATACACCAAAGAAATTATTAAAAGCCACAGATAGCCAACTGCTAGTGGTTCATCCCTGTAATCCTGGCTACTCAAGAGGCTGAGGATTACAATTCAAAACCTGACCAAGAAGAAAAATCCATGAGACTTTTTCTCCAATTAACCACCAAAATGGTGGAAGTGGGGCTATAGCTCAAGTGGTAGAGTGCTGTCCTTGAGCAAAAAAGCTGAGAGACAGGGCTCAGGCCCTGAGTTTAAGCCCAGGTACCAGTACCACCAAAAAAAAAAAAAAAAAGGCAATGTATATTTGTATGCACATTTTATCCATAGAAGAAGAGATACAATTATGTGACCAGAACACAAGGTAATCCTAATTTTTTTTCTTTGGAAAGCGGTCAGTCTAAGAACTCTTGTGTGCTATAACACACCCCCTCATACTTCCCATCATGCTCTTTTAAAGTAATTCCATTAAACTGCCATTTCTAAACGGAGATTCATTGCAAAAACAGAGTTAGTTACATAAGTCAGGCAAAGAATACATTTCCTTTTGGACAATGTCACCTCTTCCCTTGCTCTCTCCCAGTTTTTCCCTCCCATCCCCCCACAAGTTGTAGAGTTCATTTTCAGCATCTTGTCCAGTGAGGACCACGGCTTCATTTGTTCACCCTTTGTCCCTCCATTTCTATGCCTCCCCTTACACTCCCAAAGACAGATAAATGAAAGAACAAGACAAACAACAAAACGAGCAAAAAAGAAAAAAACCTTGTTTCCATTTCCTGGAGATCATTTTGAGAAGTATTATTTTGTATGATCAGATGCACACAGGCATTGTGCCTTTTTTGTTCCTCTCCAGAGACCAATTTTAAGACCACACTATTTAACAGCACGTCAGTAACTTAAGGACATTCTTTTTTTTTTTTTCTTTCTGTTTTTTGGGTTTTTGTCGGTCGTGGGGCTTGAACTCTGGGCCTGGGCGCTGTCCCTCAGCTCTTCAGCTCAAGGCGAGCGCTCTACCACTTGAGCTACAGCGCCACTTCCGGTTTTCTGGTGGTTTATTGGAGATAGGAGTCTCAAGGTCTCTCCTGCCCGGGCTGGCTTTGAACTGCGATCCTCAGATCTCAGCCTCCTGAGTAGCTAGGATTACAGGCGTGAGCCACCAGCGCCCGGCTGGACATTCTTTTTTCTGATGTTGAAAAGAACTATACTTGCTACTCCACTTTTAATATAATCTCCCAAAGTCATTACATATTTAATGTCTGACACGTTAACATAATTAAGTGTAAATGGTTTGAATGAATGTTTATATATAGCAAAGAATGTCTTACACAGATAAAATACCAGATAAGGATACAGTACCAGTACAAGCGGTGTCAATTTAACCTCCAGAATCTGACCCATCGTTTCCTTAAAGTCAGCTTGGTAGGAAGCAGAAGCCGACCTTCTGGAACCTTTGGACGGTCTGCCAGGGGATCTGGAGCGTGACCTGGACCAGCTGCCACGGCTTCGGCCCCGGCCCCCACGGCGTCTGGAGGGTGAGCTGGAAGTTGAGCCACTTTTCCTTTGCTTAAAGGATGTTAAAGGCTGGAAAGGGAGAAAGCACCAAAGAGCTCACCATAAATCACAACACCTGGAGACAAAGTCAAGCTAAACAAGGACAATCTCTAAAACCATCATGGAAACCACAAGGCCTGAGAATAACACAGGCCAATGAGAAATGCTGCCACCGTGATGATCCTTCCTCTGATCAATGCGGCCTTTTGACCCCCATTGTATGAATCAAACTACGACACTTCTAATGACATGTACAAGAAAAGTTAAAACTAATGTTAGTTAAAACAGATACTATTACTAAGGTCGCTTTGTTGAGATTAGACTCTGAATGGGGCACATGATCAAGCACGACAATGCTGACTATAGAATCATTCAGAGGCACATGCAAAGACGGTGACCCACACTTTGCAAGTCTGAGTTACCTGGCTCTATCTGTGCCAGTCCTGTGGATTCCTACCCCTTCATTTCACTGCCTTTAGGGACCCAGTGCTGGGGAAGGCACTGATAAATTGTACCCCAGCCAAACACCACCCACCCATTCTTTTGTGTGTAGCCTCAAGCTCACCACTTTTTTTTTTAACAAACCTTTAAATGACTGCAAACAAAACCAAAACTATCTATCTATCTATCTATTATCTATCTATCTATATTTTTTTTGTCAGTCGTGGGGCCTGAACTCCGGGTCTGGGCGCTGTCCCTCGGCTCTTCAGCTCAAGGTTAGCACTCTACCACTTGAGCCACAGCACCACTTCCAGCTTTTTCTGCTTATGTGGTGCTGAGGAATCAAACCCAGAGCCTCATGCATGCGAGGAAAGCACTCTACCACTGAGCCACCTTCCCAGCCTCCCAAAACAATATTTCTTGACAAAATTACCTGAAATTCAGGCCAGCACTGATGGCTTGCACCTGTAATCTTAGCTACTCAAAAGGCTGAGTTCTGAGGGGCTGGGAAGGTGGCTCAGTGGTAGAGTGCTTGCCTTGCATGCCTGAGGCCCTGGGTTCGATTCCTCAGCACCACATAAGAGAAAAAAAGCCGGAAGTGGCGCTGTGGCTCAAGTGGTAGAGCACTAGCCTTGAGCTGAAGAGCCGAGGGACAGCGCCCAGGCCCAGAGTTCAGGCCCCACGACTGGATCCAAAAAAAAAAAAAAAGGTTCAGTTCTGAGAAAAAGCTGAGATCTGAGGACTGAAGTTCATAGCCAGCCCGGGAAAAAAGTCCCCATGAGACTCATCTCCAATGAACCACCAGAAAACCAGAAGTGGAGCTATGGCTCAAAGTGGTAGAATGTTAGCAGCTCAGGGACAGCACCCAGGCCCTGGATTCAAGACCCACAACCAACAACTCGCCCCTTCCTCCAAAAAAGTTGCCTGAAATTCAAATCTCACTGTTCATGAAGTTTTATTAGAACCTAGCTAGATCCCTTCCCTTCCTGGGGCTGCCCCAGTACCACAGAAGCCACATGGACCACAGAGCTAAAATGTTTACTAGCGTGTACTACATGTGATCCAGGCCTGGGTCCCCAATTATTTGTTGCAGATAAGCAACAGGTACCAAAACCAAAGAATGCTTTGTGAAAGTTTTAAAAAAGGATTGTACACCTGGATCAGAGGTTCTCAAACCCAGAGGTTTGGAGCTGTGGGCGATACTCAGCTCTGCTGTCAGAGTCTGAGTTGAAGTCCAACCTCCTGAGCACAGAGTATCAGCACCAGTCCCAGCGGGCCACCTGCTGGCCCCTCCATCTACTCTGCTGACACTGGCTGTGTTCCCCTCGCCCCAGCCTTAGAAGCTGCCCCTGCATCACCGCCATTTTCCCATCTGCCTTTACCACTTGGCTCCTACATCACCATCTGTGGAAACACCTTAAAACCTGGGTCCTCAGGTAGGGGAGGTGGCTCAGTGGTGGAGCGCTGGCCCAGCATGCATGAGGCCCTGGGTTCCATTCCTCAGTACCACAGAACAGGCCAGAAGTGGTGCTGTGGCTCAAGTAGTAGTGCTAACCTTGAGCAAAAGAAGCTCAGGGACAGTGCCCAGGCCCTGAGTTCAAGCCCCAGGACTGACAAAAAAAAAAACAGGGCCCCCCTTGCTACCCAGCTATGCCAGTACCACCCCCTCAGACCCTTGCTCTTCCTGTGAGTCGCTGTCAACTATACCTCCTGCCCGATTCACACCTTCCCAGAGCAGAAGACAGCATGTACCCACAATGGGAGTGGACCCACCTACACCTCTTAGGGAGTCCAAGCTTAGAAACTGTATCTACAGACCTAGAGTTGTCCTTTGCACTGCGAACACACCCAGCGAACCAAAGGAGCGCTTACTTACCTTGATATCATTCTCTTTCAATTCAAGTTCGGTTCCATCTTTGTATTTTACCGTGTAGAGATGTGACTTTTGGTCGTAGCTCAGAACCTCTACTTCATAATAAAGTGAACTTCCTGGCCACCGACCTCTCACCACTTCACCATCTGCAAATTTCCTACTTGGCATTTTCTAGAGTTAGCCTGAACAATTTTAAAGAAAAAAAAAAAGTTAATACCTACGCTTATGTGTGTTCCAGAGATCAGTCATCAAGAAGCATCTTCCAGATGTGTTAGATGGTCAAAATTTTAGGCCAGGAGGCCTTCCCCAAAAGTGGCATGCAACTTAAAGATGACAACTCCGAAGCCTAAGGTGAGCACTGCGCCCACCTGTGTGACTCAAAGGCACAACACTGATGCCCGAGTGCCGACAACACAGGCAGCTCTTCCAGCACCCAGGGGTCAGCCACTGTGGGACTGAGAATTAACTACAAGGCAGACCAGGCGCCCATTTGTACCATGCAAAATGCAGCCCACCTAAAATGACCAAAAATCAGAATATAATCTCACAAAATAATTTTTCTTGGGCGGGGGGTAGGTTGTGGGGCTTGAACTCTAGGCCTGGGCACTGTCCCTGAGCTCTTTAGCTCAAGGCCACAGCACCAGTTGCAGCTTTTTCTGCTTAGGTGTTGCTGAGGAATTGAACCCAGGGCCTCATGCATGTGAGGCAAGCACTCTACCACTGAGCCACCTTCCCAGCCCACAAAATACATTTTTGAGTTTTTTTTTTTTTTGGAGGGGGAGTCCAATCGTGGGCCTGAACTCTGGGCCTGGGTGCTGTCCCTCAGCTCTTCAGCTCAAGGCTAGCACTCTACAAAATACATTTTTATTTGTAAACTTTTGTGTTGCTTTCTGAGAGATTTACAAATATATTTAAGGGGGTTGGGAAGGTGGCTCAGTGGTAGGGTGCTTCCCTCACATACATGAGGCCCTGGGTTCGATTCCTTAGCACCACATGAACAGAAAAAGCCAGAAGTGGTGCTGTGGCTCAAGTGGTAGAGCGCTAGCCTTGATCTGAAGAGCTGAGAGACAGCGCCCAGGCCCAGAGTTCAGGTCCCACGACCAGCGAAAAAAACAAAAAAAACAAGAAAAAGATCATGTTTACATCTGAAGTGGACACAGCTTTTAGTTTGTACTCTGTGTTTCTACAGTGCCTAAGTTTCACGTGTAAACTGAGGAAACACACCTGTGTGGAAAACATTCTGGCCCTTGGCATCGTTACACTTCTTTAAAAATGTTATTAACTAGTTGTCCAAAAAGGTTATACCTCCCTAAGTCGGGTCAGGAACTTGACCAGTGTCCTCCCTTCCACCCTCTGCTTCGGCTCAGTCCTGTCTCCACAGTCCAGCTTCTACACACAGCACTGCATGTAACGACTGTGTGCTAAGCAAGCAGAAAGCCCAACACCAAAGGAAGCAACAAGTGAGCAGGGCCTGAAACTAGTCTGACCCACCACTGTGGCCCCGACACCCAGCTCCGGGCCTCATGGGCTCGCAGCACGTCAGTCCCACGGGCTCGCAGTCTGTCAGTCCCACGGGCTCGCAGTCTGTCAGTCTCCCGGGCTCGCAGTCTGTCAGTCCCACGGGCTCAGTCTGTCAGTCTCCCGGGCTCGCAGTCTGTCAGTCCCACGGGCTCGCAGTCTGTCAGTCTCCCGGGCTCGCAGTCTGTCAGTCTCCCGGGCTCGCAGTCTGTCAGTCTCCCGGGCTCAGTCTGTCAGTCCCACGGGCTCGCAGTCTGTCAGTCCCACGGGCTCGCAGTCTGTCAGTCCCACGGGCTCGCAGTCTGTCAGTCTCCCGGGCTCAGTCTGTCAGTCCCACGGGCTCGCAGTCTGTCAGTCCCACGGGCTCGCAGTCTGTCAGTCCCACGGGCTCGCAGTCTGTCAGTCCCACGGGCTCGCAGTCTGTCAGTCCCACGGGCTCGCAGTCTGTCAGTCTCCCGGGCTCAGTCTGTCAGTCCCACGGGCTCGCAGTCTGTCAGTCTCCCGGGCTCGCAGTCTGTCAGTCCCACGGGCTCGCAGTCTGTCAGTCCCACGGGCTCGCAGTCTGTCAGTCCCACGGGCTCGCAGTCTGTCAGTCCCACGGGCTCGCAGTCTGTCAGTCCCACGGGCTCGCAGTCTGTCAGTCCCACGGGCTCGCAGTCTGTCAGTCCCACGGGCTCAGTCTGTCAGTCTCCAGGGCTCGCAGTCTGTCAGTCTCCCGGGCTCAGTCTGTCAGTCCCACGGGCTCGCAGTCTGTCAGTCCCACGGGCTCAGTCTGTCAGTCCCACGGGCTCGCAGTCTGTCAGTCCCACGGGCTCGCAGTCTGTCAGTCCCACGGGCTCAGTCTGTCAGTCCCACGGGCTCGCAGTCTGTCAGTCCCACGGGCTCGCAGTCTGTCAGTCCCACGGGCTCGCAGTCTATCAGTCCCACGGGCTCCCAGTCTGTCAGTCCCACGGGCTCGCAGTCTGTCAGTCCCACGGGCTCGCAGTCTGTCAGTCCCACGGGCTCAGTCTGTCAGTCCCACGGGCTCCCAGTCTGTCAGTCTCCAGGGCTCGCAGTCTGTCAGTCTCCCGGGCTCAGTCTGTCAGTCCCACGGGCTCGCAGTCTGTCAGTCCCACGGGCTCGCAGTCTGTCAGTCCCACGGGCTCGCAGTCTATCAGTCCCACGGGCTCCCAGTCTGTCAGTCCCACGGGCTCGCAGTCTGTCAGTCCCACGGGCTCGCAGTCTGTCAGTCCCACGGGCTCAGTCTGTCAGTCCCACGGGCTCCCAGTCTGTCAGTCTCCAGGGCTCGCAGTCTGTCAGTCTCCCGGGCTCAGTCTGTCAGTCCCACGGGCTCGCAGTCTGTCAGTCCCACGGGCTCGCGGGCCGCGCGGGTCCGGCCCGGGCGTAGTGAGACTCGGCAGCGGCGTCGCCGCCCGGCCGCCCCCCCCCCTCCGCAGCAGCCTCCGGCGGGAGCTCGGCCGGCTTCCGGCTTCCGGGTCCCGGCGCCCCGCCCGCCCCGCCCGCCGGCGCCGGCCCCGCCCGGGCGCGCGCACGCGGCCTGCCCGCCGGCGTCCGTGCGCGGCGGGGCCCCGGGCCGCGGCCGTCGCCTCCCGCCCGGGCCCTCGCCCCGCCGCCCCTCGGGGCCGGGCGCCCGCGGCCGGCACAAAGCGCCGCCGCCGGGTCCCCCCGCGACCCCCGCCGGAGCCCGGGCGCCGCGGCCCGTCAGCGGCGCGCCTCCGCGCCCACCCGAGGCCCCGCCGACCCAGGCCGCGCCCGGCCCCGCCCGCCGCCGCCGCGGGGTCGCCGGGAGGCCCGAGCGGGCGAGGGGCCGGGCGCGGGCCGGCGGCGCCCCCCTCACCTGCCGTCCGGCGGGAACGCACGGCGCGGGACAGCGCGAACAGCTCGCTCGGAGAACGCGCCGCGCCCGGCCCCGCCCCCGGGCCCCGCCGCGCCACCCTATTGGCCGGCCGCTCGTTTGAATGCTCGCCGACGCCGGCGATTGGCGCGCGCGGTGGCGCGTCCGCCCCCCGCCCTGGAGGCGGCCGCCGCTCCCGCCTCAACTGCGCCGCCCGGGCGCCGCGCGCGGCCCCGCCCGCCCCGTCCCGTCCCGTGCCCGCCCCGTCCCGTGCCCGCCCGCCCGCCCCGTCCCCTCCCGCCCGCCCCGTCCCCGCCCGCCCCGTCCCGTGCCCGCCCGCCCGCCCCGTCCCATCCCGCCCGCCCCGTCCCGTGCCCGCCCGCCCCGTCCCCTCCCGCCCGCCCCGTCCCCGCCCGCCCCGTCCCGTGCCCGCCCGCCCGCCCGTCCCGTGCCCGCCCGCCCCGTCCCCTCCCGCCCGCCCCGTCCCCGCCCGCCCCGTCCCCTCCCGCCCGCCCCGTCCCGTGCCCGCCCGCCCGCCCGCCCCGTCCCCTCCCGCCCGCCCCGTCCCGTGCCCGCCCGCCCCGTCCCGTGCCCGCCCGCCCCGTCCCCTCCCGCCCGCCCCGTCCCGTGCCCGCCCGCCCCGTCCCGTGCCCGCCCGCCCCGTCCCCTCCCGCCCGCCCCGTCCCGTGCCCGCCCGCCCGTCCCGTCCCGTCCCCTCCCGCCCGTCCCGTCCCGTCCCCGCCCGCCCCGTCCCGTGCCCGCCCGCCCGCCCCGTCCCCTCCCGCCCGCCCCGTCCCGTGCCCGCCCGCCCGCCCGCCCCGTCCCCTCCCGCCCGCCCCGTCCCCTCCCGCCCGCCCGCCCGCCCCGTCCCCTCCCGCCCGTCCCGTCCCGTCCCCGCCCGCCCTGTCCCGTCCACGCCCGCCCGCTTCGGGCGGCCACAGGGACGGCCAAGAACAGAAAGGCCAGGAGTGAGGGGAAGGGAAGGGGAAATGGGGGGGGGCGGGCGCTACGACCCCACTGCGCCCCCCGCGGTGGACGCTGGGCTTCCTGCCGCCGCCCTAGTCCGCCCTCCCCCTGCCCTCCCCCTGCGCCCTTCCCTCCCCCTGCCCTCCCCTCCTCCCTGCCCTCCCCCTGCGCCCTGCCCTCCCCCTCCCGCCCTCCCCCTGCGCCCTGCCCTCCCCCTGCGCCCTGCCCTCCCCCTGCGCCCTGCCCTCCCCCTCCCGCCCTCCCCCTGCGCCCTGCCCTCCCCTCCTCCCTGCCCTCCCCCTGCGCCCTGCCCTCCCCCTCCCGCCCTGCCCCTGCGCCCTGCCCTCCCCCTGCGCCCTGCCCTCCCCCTCCCGCCCTCCCCCTGCGCCCTGCCCTCCCCTCCTCCCTGCCCTCCCCCTGCACCCTGCCCTCCCCCTGCGCCCTGCCCTCCCCCCCTCCCGCCCTCCCCCTGCGCCCTTCCCTCCCCCTGCCCTCCCCTCCTCCCTGCCCTCCCCCTGCGCCCTGCCCTCCCCCTCCCGCCCTGCCCCTGCGCCCTGCCCTCCCCCTGCGCCCTGCCCTCCCCCTCCCGCCCTCCCCCTGCGCCCTGCCCTCCCCTCCTCCCTGCCCTCCCCCTGCACCCTGCCCTCCCCCTGCGCCCTGCCCTCCCCCCTCCCGCCCTCCCCCTGCGCCCTTCCCTCCCCCTGCCCTCCCCTCCTCCCTGCCCTCCCCCTGCGCCCTGCCCTCCCCCTCCCGCCCTCCCCCTGCGCCCTGCCCTCCCCCTGCGCCCTGCCCTCCCCCTGCGCCCTGCCCTCCCCCTCCCGCCCTCCCCCTGCGCCCTGCCCTCCCCTCCTCCCTGCCCTCCCCCTGCACCCTGCCCTCCCCCTGCGCCCTGCCCTCCCCCCTCCCGCCCTCCCCCTGCGCCCTTCCCTCCCCCTGCCCTCCCCTCCTCCCTGCCCTCCCCCTGCGCCCTGCCCTCCCCCTCCCGCCCTGCCCCTGCGCCCTGCCCTCCCCCTGCGCCCTGCCCTCCCCCTCCCGCCCTCCCCCTGCGCCCTGCCCTCCCCCTGCGCCCTGCCCTCCCCCTGCGCCCTGCCCTCCCCCTCCCGCCCTCCCCCTGCGCCCTGCCCTCCCCTCCTCCCTGCCCTCCCCCTGCGCCCTGCCCTCCCCCTCCCGCCCTGCCCCTGCGCCCTGCCCTCCCCCTGCGCCCTGCCCTCCCCCTCCCGCCCTCCCCCTGCGCCCTGCCCTCCCCTCCTCCCTGCCCTCCTCCTGCACCCTGCCCTCCCCCTGCGCCCTGCCCTCCCCTCCTCCCTGCCCTCCCCCTGCGCCCTGCCCTCCCCCTCCCGCCCTCCCCCTGCGCCCTGCCCTCCCCTCCTCCCTGCCCTCCCCCTGCGCCCTGCCCTCCCCCTCCCGCCCTCCCCCTGCGCCCTGCCCTCCCCCCTCCTCCTGTCCTCCCCCCCTCCCCATGCTCTCCTCTCCCCTGCTCTCTCCTCTCTCCCTCCCCTCCCCAAGCTCTCTCCCCTGGTTTCCAACTCTTGCTCAGCCCTGCTGAACCTCTTCTTGGCCACCCCTTCCAGGGCCAGTGGGGCACTGTGCCTCCCGGGCCATTGCTGGCTGGCCTGCCCTCTGCGGGAGGGAGGTGGGCCAGGCCTGCCCGGCTGCCCTGCCCTTCCTGCCCCCCCTGCCCCCCCGCCCTTCCTGCCCCCCCTGCCCCCCCGCCCTTCCTGCCCCCCCTGCCCCCCCGCCCTTCCTGCCCCCCCTGCCCCCCCCCCCCCCCCCGCCCTTCCTGCCCTGCCCACAGCTCCTTTCCTGGGTTATGCCTGGTCAGGCTGTCATTGCCCGCAGCCCTGGGTTGTGAGGGTTGCAGTCAGAGCAGCCCCAGAAGCCACCACCACCAGTACCTGAAGTGGAGCCAGGCCCAGGGCAGGCCCCAGACTCCCAAGAAGATAAAGGGTAGAAAAACTCACTGTCGGTGTCAAGCTTACACAACCCTCCTGCAGCCTGCAGGTACAGTAACAGGACACAAGGTGAAGCCAAGGATGGCAAACCTCATGCCATAAGTCATCAACTAGAAAGACACTTGTTTTAAT